CAGGGCCCTTTATTACGGTCACACGGTGGGACCCTTTCATGTGTTCTGCAGTGGGGTCCCATCCTGCATAGTTGCCATCCTTTCCAAAACATTTTCAAGGGAACCTTTGTTTTTTTTGCTGTGTTCTGTCAGCCATTGTAGGCAAACATATCTTAATTAGGGGCGGGGCTGTTAAAATGGGCATTGTTCTACAAGAGTCATCTGACATCGTACTCCTTTGTACTTCTCTCCATACCCCCCCTCCCGTGTACATCTCTGTACCTCCCAAATAACCCCTGTACTAGCAGACCTCCATGCCCCCCAACACACCTCTACACCTCCCAGCATCCTCTGTACTCCTCCCAGCATCCCCCCCCCCGCCACTGCATAGTGAACTGCCTGCCGGGGGGAGCTGGAGGAGATGACAGGTCTTTGCCACCCCCCACATCCCCAGTGGCAGAACATCAGGGCCCAGTCACAAGTGCAACCCTGGTAGTTCCGCCACTGCGATCTGACATTAAAGCAGAGTTCCACCCAAAGAGGGAAAGTCTGCCTGCCTGTCTCCTCCAGTGTCATATTTTGTCACCTTTTGGGGGTAAAGGGGACTTGGTTTTCATACCCGCTCCCACTTCCGGCTCAGTTCACCATGGCACTTCATAGGCCCCAGAGGACTGCGACCTATTCACAAGCGCACTTCTCACATATGTAGTAGGAAACCGGCTGTGAAGCAACAAATCTTCCTTGCTGGTTCCCCTTAGTCAAGATGGCGGCACCAGCACCTGATAACCAATTGAAGAGTTGGCTTGGGGTGAGGAAACCACTGGATACTTGAACAGATTGGTGCCCTAATGTTAAAATTCAGCATCTACAGTATTGGCGGCCACCAATCCCAATTACCAAGTCCCAAGAACCCCTTACCCAGTTTGAGATTGAATAGCTTCTCATCCAACTTCATCGTGTGGCTGCATGTCTTCTTTAGAGACCTTGCCCTCCAGAGGATTTACCCCCCTTCTTGATTAGTCCATTTTTTGCGATGCGGCGCTACATTACTTTAACTGACAATTGCAACACTGCACCCAAATTAAATTTAAGTCCTTTTTTTCCCCACAAATAGAGCTTTCTTTCGGTGGTATTTGATTGCCTCTGCGTTTTTTTTATTTTTTGCGCTATAAACAAAAAAAGACCAACAATTTTGTAACAAAAAAAATATATATTTTTGACTTTTTGCTATAAAACATCCAGTGAAAAAAATTTTAAAATCAAATTTCACCATAAATGTAGGCCAAAATGTATTCTGCAACTTGTCTTTGCTAAAAAAAAAATCCCAATACCTGTAAATTAATTGGTTTACGTGAAAGCTATAGCATCTACAAATGGCGGTATAGATACTGGAATTTTTTTTTTTAATACTAGTAATGGCGGTGATCAGCGACTTATAGAGTCTTACAAGAAAAGGATGTGGTACAGTGGAAGTTTTAGGCTACTTTCACACTGCGCCTTTGCAAAAATACCCCTTATGTCTTTTTTACCACGTTTCTGGTGCGTTTTGCACCTGTGAAAAAAGGACATGACTCAAAAAGCGCACCAAAAAGCAACTACGGATGCATTTTTGCAACAATGTTGATGCGTTTTCCATTCTTTTCAATGGGGAGGTGTGCAGGCAGTGCATTTTATTTCGGCACCAAGCAAGCACCAAAAATGCAGCTTGCAGGACTTTGAAAACCGCAATGAACCACTGTGAAGAATTCCATAGGATTTAAATTATGCATTTTTCTCCCATTTTTTTTTTTTTTACCGCAAAAATGGAAGAAAAACTCATCAGGGTGAAAGCAGCCTTAGATGGACCATAGATCTTTCCAGTGACCAGAACTGGACAGCATACTCAAGATGTGCCAGGCCAGAGTTTTGTAGTGGTAGAATCATAAGTTTAGCTCTTGAGTATATATTGTTTTTAACGCATGGTAGAAGTCTGCTGTCCTTGCTTTTTGTTCTTAGCAGTACTGCTGGACACGGATGTTGAACAGCCCCTTCCTGGCAGCATATTGAAGACTCAGTCTGTTGCATTTTGTGTAAAAGATCAAGCTGGACCACTCCACACTGAGAGAGATAGCATCCTGTACAGCTGTGAGAGAGTACCCTGGACTGCTATGTTGGTGAGTATCCCCGATTGCCACACTGCAGGTGATTGATTATCCCAGACCGCTACATTTTACGTGAGAGGCAGCATCCCAGACCACCATCTAACTGTGTGAGTCAGACTGCTGCACTCTATGCAAGAAAGTATCCTAGACCACTGAAAAATTGGACATCCATACAATTCTCTTGAACGGAGCCTTTACCCAAACAAGCTTGGCAAACTCCTACCGCAGCCACATCAAGCTGCAGTGTCTTTCCCACCAGAGAGAGAACACAGTCTGCTGAACATAATACTACACAAACATTAGATGTTGCCATGGTTTAATTGGACATAACATGTACACATTCACAGTGCAGGGAGGAAAAAATATGTGGGGCCCTAACTTAATGACTTCTCCCAGAGCTAATTGGAGCCAGGAGTGAGCCAACCTTGACTCCAGTGTGATGATATTAGATGTGTTGCTGACAGCTGTCCTGCCCTTAAAAAAAACACACACCTGTTTTGGGTTTACTGGTTTCAAGAAGCACTGTCTGATGTGAACCATGCCTCGCAGAAAAGAGCTCTCAGAAGACCTACGATCAAGAATTGTTGACTTGCATGAAGCTGGAAAGGGTTACAAAAATATCTCCAAAAGCCTTGATGTTCATGTGTCCACGGTAAGACAGACTGTCTACAAATGGAGAAAGTTTAGCACTGTTGCTACTCTCCCTAGTTGTGGTCGTCCTTGTAAAAATGACTGCAAGAGCACAGCGCAGAATGCTGCATGAGGTAAAGAAGAATCCCAGAGTGTCAGCTAAAGACCTACAGAAATCTCTGGCACATGCTAACATTTTTGTTGACACATCTACAATAAGGAAAACATTAAACAAGAATGGAGTACATGGGAGGACACCACGGAGGAAGCCATTGCTGTCCAAAATCATGGTTTGGGGCTGCTTTGCTGCCTCAGGGCCTGGACAGATTGTTGTCATTGATGGGAAAATTAATTCCAGAGTTTATCAAGACATTTTGCAGGAAAACGTACGACCATCTTTCCACCAACTGAAGCTCCGCAGAGGATGGGTGATGCAATAGTACAATGACCCAAAGCATACAAGTAATTCAACAAAACAATGGCTGCAACAGCACAGAATACGCCTTCTGGAGTGGCCCAGTCAGAGTCCTGATCTCAAACCGATTGAAATGCTGTGGCATGACCTTAAGAGAGCAATTCACACCAGACATCCCAAGAATATTGCTACACTGAAACAGTTTTGTGAAGAGGAGTCGTCCAAAATTACTCCAGATCATTGTGCAGGTCTGATCTGCAACTACAGGAAACGTTTGGTTGAGGTTATTGCTGCCAAAGGAGGGTCAACCAGTTATTAAGTCCAAAGGTTCACATACTTTTTCCTCCCTGCACTGTGAATGTTTACATGTTATGTGCAATTAAACCATGGCAACATCTAATGTTTGTGTAGTATTATGTTTAGCAGACTGTGTTCTTCTATTGTTGTGACTTAGATGACGTTCAGAACACATTTTATGCCCAATTCATGCAAAACTCCATGTAATCCCAAGGGGTTCACATACTTTTTCTTGCAACTGTATGTGTGTCAAAGTCAACAATCAAGAGAAGACTTCACCAGAGTGAATACAGAGGGTTCACCACAAGATGTAAACCATTGGTGAGCCTCAAAAACAGGAAGGCCAGATTAGAGTTTGCCAAACGACATCTAAAAAAGCTTTCACAGTTCTGGAACAACATCCTATGGACAGATGAGACCAAGATCAACTTGTACCAGAGTGATGGGAAGAGAAGAGTATGGAGAAGGAAAGGAACTGCTCATGATCCTAGGCATACCACCTCATCAGTGAAGCATGGTGGTGGTAGTGTCATGGCATGGTCATGTATAGCTGCCAATGGAACTGGTTTTCTTGTATTTATTGATGTGACTGCTGACAAAATCAGCAGGATGAATTCTGAAGTGTTTTGGGCAATATTATCTGCTCATATTCAGCCAAATGCTTCAGAACTCATTGGATGCCGCTTCACAGTGCGGATGGACAATGACCCAAAGCATACTGCAAAAGCAACCCAAGAGTTTTTTTAAGGGAAAGAAGTGGAATGTTATGCAATGGCCAAGTCAATCACCTGACCTGAATCCGATTGAGCATGCATTTCACTTGCTGAAGACAAAACTGAAGGGAAAATGCCCCAGAACAAGCAGGAACTGAAGACAGTTGCAGTAGAGGCCTGGCAGAGCATCACCAGGGATGAAACCCAGCGTCTGGTGATGCCTATGCGTTCCAAACTTCAGGCTGTAATTGACTGCAAAGGATTTGCAACAGAGTATTAAAAAGTGAGTTTGATTTATGATTATTCTGTCCCATTACTTTTGGTCCCTTAACAAGTGGGAGGCACATATGCAAACTGTTGTAATTCCTACACCGTTCACCTGATTTGGATGTAAATACCCTCAAATTAAAGAAGAATTGTGTCGATGTCCCAATATTTATGGACCTGACTGTAGCTGCAAAGGGCGGGCCAACTCAATATTGGACCATACGGACCAAGACTGGGAGGCTATTAAAGGTCATGTGCGTGTAAATACGTTTGGCAATACAAATACCTTGGTTTACAAATGCCTCAGTTAACGTAATTTTCGGTTTACGAAATAAAAATAATAAAAATCAGTGCTATCCCAAAAATATTGTGACATGCCCCCAAGGCTGAAATATCCTTTCTCCCCCAAAAGTCAAAGTCATAAAGTCCAGTAGTTCAGCGTCTACTGAAACACCACACCTACGGACACAGCTGATCACGTGACATGGTAAAAGGCCAATCACAGCGGCCTTTTACCATGTGATCAGCCGTGTCCAATGACACGCTGATCACCGGGAAATGCAAATGCCGGTTCTCGGCTGCACTTTCCTCACGCTGTCAGATCGTGAGGAAAGTACTGCCGAAAACCGGCAGTTGTCAGAGCGGGGATTGGCACCGATCATCAGGGTCACTGATCACCAGTGCCCTGATGATCGGTGCCCAGCAGTGCCACATACAAGTTCCGCCCACCTGTGCCCAGCAGTGCCACCCACCTGTGCCCAGCAGTGCCACCCACCTGTGCCACCCAGCAGTGCCACCCACCTGTGCCCAGTGCCACCTGTGCCCAGCAATGCGCCCACCTGTGCCACCCAGCAGTGTTACCACCTGTGCCCAGAAGTGCCACCTACCCATGCCCAGTAGTGCCACCCACCTGTGCCCACCAGTGCCACCCACCTGTGCCCATCAGTGCAGCCCAGCAGTGCTGCCAGTCAGTGCCCAGCGGTTGTTCGTCAGTGCCCAGCAGTGCCGTCAGTCAGTGCCCATTATCAGTGTTGCCTATCAGTGCCACCTATCCGTGACACCTCATTAGTGCTGCCTATCCGTGCCACCTATCAGTGCCCATCAGTGCTGCCTCATCAACGCACATCAGTGAAGGAGAAAAATTACCTGTTTGAAAAATTTTATAATAGAAACAAAAAAACTTTTTTTTTTTCAAACTTTTTTGCATTTTTTTGCTTATAGCACAAAAAGTAAAGTGCCCAGCAGTGATTAAATACCACCAAAAGAAAGCTCTATTTGTGAGAAAAAAAAATGATAAAAATTTCATATGGGTACAATCTTGCATGACCGCGCAATTGTCAAAGTGCGACAGTGCTGAAAGCTGAAAATTGGCCTGGTAAATAAGGGGGTATAAGTGCCCGGTAGGCAAGTGGTTAAATCCTTTTTTTGGGTCAGCGGTGGTGACGGCTGGCATCGTGATTGACATGGGATCTACTGCGGGGGGCATTCTTTCAGTTTTTTCTTTTAATAATGAATTTGTCAAAGACCGTATCCTGTCTTTTTTCACCCTACACTTTTTGTGAATGAGTAGGGCTACCATGTACCCCATACTCATTCACATGGGGGGGTGGGATCTGGTTGCACCCTTGTTGTAGGGAAGAGGCCCTTGTCCCCATCAACATGGGGACAAGATGCTTTGGTGGGGGGGGGGGGGGAGCCAAAGTTGAGGGCACGTGGCCTGATATGGTTAAGGGGGGGGCCCGCTCGTCCCTCCTTTCCGATAAGGGCATGGTATGGATTTGGGGGGTCGGGGGGGGGGGGGGGGGGGGGAAATGACTCAACGGCATTTTTTTTTTTTTTAATTTTGGGGTGGGAGTTCCCCTCAAAATCCATACCAGACCTGAAGGGCTTGGTATGGAAGGGGGGACCCCACGCCGTTTTTTTTTTTTTTTTTTAATTGCCGGCAATTCTTTTACATTCAAAACATTAACACATGGTTGTCACTACTAAAATACTGCATGACTTGATAAAATAACTCATGCGGTATTTTAGTAGCATTCGTTTTTTTTCTGACCTTCGGAACGGTTTAATTGGTTTTCAGTGCATTTTTATGGGAAACAGCGTTTCAGTTTACGAATTTGTCGCTATACAAAAAGTCCTGCAGAACGAATTAAATTCGTAAACCGAGTTATTACAGTATAGTGTATTTATGCATTAACAGCTAGAACATGATTGACAACAGAAGAAAAAAAAAAATACACAGATCTCCAAGGTGGGAAAGGTAGGAGCTTTATTAAAAAGAACTAAACGCTATAAAAGTGACGGTAGACAATATGTACAAATAAAGGCAAGCGCTCAGCGCAATCCACTTTGTGAACTTCCTGCTCCTGGGTGCTCAGGACTGTGTCGGCTCTATAAAATAAATAAGATTATTAATGATATTTATATTTAAGATGATGCTTTTCAGTTCAGATATAAAAGAAATGAAAGCAGCTCTGTAATAATTACTACATCAATACATGTAATATTTTAGAATGCAGGAAGTGTAAAACCAAAGAATTCCAGTTGGCAGTATAAGTCCTGTTGCAATACTCCCCTTAAATCCAAAGCTATCCCCTGCAGTACTTTTTCCATCATTAGATGATTTCAGTTTTTCTAGCTGAATGATGCCTAGAATTATTCAACCCACTTTCTCAGAGCCCAGGCTACCAGGTAGTTGTCATTCTGTTTTCTTCTCCTATTAATATGCTCCTGGTCGGCATATGAACAGATTAGTATCCTCGTGCTGCTTTTTCCTCTCCCACTCTCAACAAGGCTACAATGGACTACAAGAATCCTTTAATACCAAGTCAACATAGTAGTCCATTGTAGCCTTGTTGAGAGTGGGAGAGGAAAAAGCAGCACAAGGATACAAATCTGTTCATGTGCCGACCAGGAGCATATTAATAGGAGAAAACAGAGTGACAACTACCTGGTAGCCTGGGCTCAGAGAAAGTGGGTTGAATAATTCTAGGCATCATTCAGCTAGAGACCATTGAGGGACACAAGAAATCATAGTGTCAGGTTATTATGCTGCCTACAGAATTTTTTTTTTTTCCGAACAAAATATATCTCGTAGGTCAGTCCAGGATCGTTCTACCCCCAGTATGCATCGGATTTGTGGCAAAACAGTACAAATGGCATTATAAAACACAGAAGGGTGGGACCTGTGTTGCTCAATGGACTCCAAGAAAAGGATTTCACAGAGAGCATAAAAAAAATCCTATTTTCTTTTTTTGTCCAATTGAGGGACACAGGAAGTCGTACACGGACACACACACACGCACACCAGGGCCATGTCATTCCCTCTGTGTGCAGCCACTGGCCAGCCAACCACAGAGGTCTGCATGCTAGCAACCAGATCCTCCATGTTCCGTAGCATAGTCTCACGCTTTTCCCAGTGTTGTCTCTGTAGCCTCATGTTCCCAGTCTCTGCCCAGCCTGTACCCAGCTCCTGTGTCAGGGGTGTGGAAATCTTTTAAAAAAAACTACTTGTCCAGGGACCAAATCTACTTGTCCTGATTAACCACTTGCCCCCCTTCCTGGCCAGGCCATTTTTTGCGTTCTGCATTACTTTGACAATTGGGCAGTCGTGCAACACTGCACCCAAATTAAATTTACGTTCTTTTTTTCCCCACTAATAGAGCTTTCTTTCAGTGTTATTTCATCGCATCTGCGATTTTTATTTTTTGCGTTGTAAACAAAAAAAGACAGACAACTGTGAAATAAAAAAAAAAAAAAACAAAAACAAAAAAAAAAAAAAAAAAACATAAAAAACTATTTTTTTTACTTTTTGCTATTAAACCATGTCCAGTTAAAAAAAAACAAAAAAAACAAATTGTCATTTGGGCCATTTTAGGCAAAAATGTATTCTGCTACATGTCTGCTAAAAAAAAAAAAAAAAAAAAAAAAAAAAAAAATCCCAATACCTAAATCCCTAAGGCCACATCAGAAGGCAGAACCTATCTTCCCAGCAGGAAAGATGCCACCTCTAGAGTTGATTGGCCAAAGGGTTAGAGTCCAGCCCACATCCATTTCTCAATAAATTGAGGGGCATTATTTCATATTTGAATGGCTACATTTTATGTCCTTTTTTAAATCATCATATTTGTACTTATACAGTCAGGTCCATAAATATTGGGACATGGGACACAATTCTAAAATTTTCTAAAACGGTGTAGGAATTACAACAGTTTGCATATGTGCCTCCCATCTGTTAAGGGACCAAAAGTAATGGGACAGAATAATAATCATAAATCAAACTTTCACTTTTTAATACTTGGCTGCAAATCCTTTGCAGTCAATTACAGCCTGAAGTCTGGAACACATAGACATCACCAGACGCTGGGTTTCATCCCTGGTGATGCTCTGCCAGGCCTCTACTGCAACGGTCTTCAGTTCCTGTTTGTTCTTGAGGCATTTTCCCTTCAGTTTTGTCTTCAGCAAGTGAAATGCATGCTCAATCGGATTCCGGTCAGGTGACTGACTTGGCCATTGCATAACATTCCACTTCTTTCCCTTAAAAAAACTCTTTGGTTGCTTTTGCAGTATGCTTTGGGTCATTGTCCATCTGCACTGTGAAGCTGCGTCCAATGAGTTGTGAAGCATTTGGCTGAATATGAGCAGATAATATTGCCCAAAACACTTCAGAACTCATCCTGCTGCTTTTGTCAGCAGTCACATCATCAATAAATACAAGCGAACCAGTTCCATTGGCAGCCATACATGCCCACGCCATGACACTACCACCACCATGCTTCACTGATGAGGTGGTATGCTTAGGATCATGAGCAGTTCCTTTCCTTCTCCATACTCTTCTCTTCCCATCACTCTGGTACAAGTTGATCTTGGTCTCATCTGTCCATAGGATGTTGTTCCAGAACTGTGAAGGCTTTTTTAGATGTCGTTTGGCAAACTCTAATCTGGCCTTCCTGTTTTTGAGGCTCACCAATGGTTTACATCTTGTGGTGAACCCTCTGTATTCACTCTGGTGAAGTCTTCTCTTGATTGTTGACTTTGACACACATACACCTACCTCCTGGAGAGTGTTCTTGATCTGGCCAACTGTTGTGAAGGGTGTTTTCTTCACCAGGGAAAGAATTCTTCGGTCACCCACCACAGTTGTTTTCCGTGGTCTTCCGGGTCTTTTGGTGTTGTTGAGCTTACCGGTGCGTTCCTTCTTTTTAAGAATGTTCCAAACAGTTGTTTTGGCCACGCCTAATGTTTTTGCTATCTCTCTGATGGGTTTGTTTTGTTTTTTCAGCCTAATGATGGCTTGCTTCACTGATAGTGACAGCTCTTTCGGATCTCATCTTGAGAGTTGACAGCAACAGATTCCAAATGCAAATAGCACACTTGAAATGAACTCTGGACCTTTTATCTGCTCATTGTAATTGGGATAATGAGGGAATAACACACACCTGGCCATGGAACAGCTGAGAAGCCAATTGTCCCATTACTTTTAGTCCCTTAACAAGTGGGAGGCACATATGCAAACTGTTGTAATTCCTACACCGTTCACCTGATTTGGATGTAAATACCCTCAAATTAAAGCTGACAGTCTGCAGTTACACATCTTGTTTGTTTGTTTCATTTCAAATCCATTGTGGTGGTGTATAGAGCCAAAAATGTGAGAATTGTGTCGATGTCCCAATATTTATGGACCTGACTGTATCTCCTAGATTGTAAGCTCCCAGGATCAGGCCCTCCTATCCCTATTGTATTGAACTGTATTGTCTCCCATTATATTGTAAAGTGCTGAGCAAACTGTTGGGGCCATAAATCCTGCATAATAATAATTTCTATGCATTGCCTACCAAGACTGTTGCATTGTGTTACCAGTGCCTGTATGTTCAGTCTAAGCTCCATGTTAATCTGTAAGAAATTAAACCATGTGTGTGGCAGATCTGTCAGAAAGAGATCTGTGTGCCTTTGGTTACCTAGCAGACAAACTGCTAGATGGTGGTAAGCTATTGTAAGTGGTATGTAGTCATGCATGGGCAGTTGGAAAAGTGATTTACAAAAAGATTCTAGCTTGCAGTGAAGCTTGAGGAATCCAGAACTATGTACCAACAGTTAACTGCACCCAAACCCCAACAGTACACCAGACTGCATGTAGGAATTGTATCTGCCTGTGTATGAACAGCCAGCTCGATTTCAGTGAAGTCTTCCTCTAGTGGTGGCCTGAGATATCGTAGGCTGCAACAAGTGTATAATAGTAGCCTTTACCTGTCAAAAGGTAAAATCTGCCCTTTTTCCCTCCTAGCCTCAATTTGTTAAATTGTAACTAAAGACAAAAAAAACCTCCCTTTTATTACGTTTTGGATAGAGCGCAGAGGGATAAGAACCCGTCAGTTTTTATTGCTCTCCGTGTCCCCATTAAGGAGCTTCACCCTCTCCATTTGTCCAGTTTACCAATATCATTGAAAGTAAAAGAACACCCCAAAATCTAGGGTTGTCTCCAGAAATATAATAGAGGGGAAATCTTCCATTGGGGAACTGGTTCTGGTGACCTGGGTGTCCATAAGAAAATCCCTCCAATTTGCAGGGATTTCCTCCCACTTCCTGTTTGGCTATGTGACAGGAAGTGAAGGTAAATCTCCACAATGTGACACAGATGGCGCAAAAAAAAAAAAAATAATAATAATAATAATTGACAGGGGTTATAACCCTCCCTTGCTCTATCAAAAATGAAAAAAAACACAAATTTTTTGCCTATAGTTCTACTTTAAAATCGCCTTAGACTTGTGTCCTTATCTGGTGGTAGCTGTGGGATATTGGTAGCAAGCACAGTGGTAGCTGTAGGAGTGTGTTGTATGACTGTTACCCATATCCAGACTGGAAACTTGGGGGTTCTTGTGACCATTGTGAGGGCTGATTGATTTTCGGGATGCTCAATTATTATTATTATACAGGATTTATGGCACCAACAGTTTGCTCAGCGCTTTACAATATAAAGGGAGACAATACAGTTCAATACAAGAGGGTTAGGAGGGCCCTGCTCCTTGAAGTGTACTCAACGGGCCGCAATACCAAGCGTGTCGGCCAGCTTGTCTCATCCCCGTACCCTTGTTTGAGAAAATGTATTAATAGTACAGCTCTATATTAACTTTGTGCTTTTTATATATGCCTGGAGTCCAGCCTTTACCAGGCCTTGCTTAATCACCTTCTTTTTCTTTTTGTCTTTCTTCTTCCGCCTTCTTTCTGGGTCATCTTCCCTCTGTTTCTTCTTCTTTTTTCTGTGGTCAGAGTCTGACGGTGTTTCTAGGACAAAGAGAAAGACAACCTGTCAGTGGCATCACTTGTTCAGTCCTGTGGATCACCTAAATCCATGCTCTATACTGACCTGGAGGAGCTGGTTCTTGTGTTCTGCTCTGTTTGTGCTTTTTGTTTTTCTTTTTTGGAGGTTGTATGTGCATTAGTCGGCACTGCTCTGGAAGCTAAAAATGAAAATACGGGAAATAAGTCTAGTAGGGTGGAAGGATGTTTAACATATTTGACTACCTCTTTCCCTTGCCGCAGTAATATGCAGTCTAAGGCTAGGTTCACATCTGTGCGGGTGGTGCCCCTGTGGATCCGCACGAAAATCTGTGCAGCTGCACCACCCACACAGAGAAATGCGGACCCGCAGGTGGGGACCATTCGTTCTAATGGCACACCGCCCGCACTGGAAAACGCAACCGTACTGAGAACCAAGGTTCCCGTGTGGGCTGCGTTTTCAGAAGAAGTTCTTCTCCGCGTGTCACGGGGCACGGGAGTCCATTCAAATGAATGGGCTCTTGTGCCCGCGCAAAACGCGGCCTGCACAGCCGCATATATGTGAACCGGGGCCAATATCTGAAAGTCTGTAAAATACTGCACCTCAGCCCATCCCACAATGTTATCTCAGCTTACATAAAGCAGAGGTGGTGACTGACAGGACATCATATGACATCCACATAGGATGGGAGAGCTGCTGCTTGGCTGTCATTTGACGAGGCCAGACGGGAAGCATTTTCCCGAGCGATCTCTCAGATCATGTAAAGGCAGAGGTTTACTTGCTAAATAAAACATAATTTAAAAAAAAAAAAAAAAAAAAAAAAAAAAAAAAAAAAAAAAAAAACACACACCTTCAATTATGGTGGGGTGATGCTTAAAGGATAAGTTTACCTTTGGGACCTTGTAACATGTCCCACCCATTTTTAGCATAGAACAGCAATGGGCAAACTATGGCCCGCGGGCCGTATACGGCCCGGCGGACCTTTTTTCCGACCCGCGGAGCGTGATCCAAAAAAAAAAAAAAAAAAAAAAAAAAAACAGCCAGGGCAGGCAAACATTGGCTGTCAGGATGTGTGTAGGCGGGGCAGCGTGACGAACGTGAGGGGAGCTAGGCTCCTCTCACAGTCCGCCCTGAAGACCGAAACGGCACGGGAACACGGCGAGAGGAACGCGCGGAGCAAAGGTAAGTAAATTGACACAGGGGGGACTTGGCTTACTACTTGGGGGGGGGAATAGTACTATGGGGGATGAAATACTATATGAGGGATGAATTAATATGGGGAATGAATTAATATGGGGAATGAATTAATATGGGGAATGAATTAATATGGGGAATGAATTAATATGGGGAATGAATTAATATGGGGAATGAATTAATATGGGGAATGAAATACTATAGGGGGGATGAAATACTATATGGGGGGGGGGATGAATTACTATATGGGGGATTGAATTACTATGCTTACTATGGGGGAATATTACTATACTTACTATGGATGACACCTCAGATCTATTCTGCGAATTGCAACAACAAAACTAACTCCTGACTTTGATGCCTTAACAAAAAAGGGAGATCAACAACACTGTTCCCACTAAAATTGAAGGCACTATTTTATGAAAGAAATACATTGCATAAAAGTTATATAAAATAACTCTTTTTATGCTTTTCTACCTTAAATTAATCTAAACATGTTACAAATTTTAATTTAATTTCTATTAATTCACACATACACATCATTCATCTACTCTTGGTCCGGCCCCCGGGTCCAATATATGAACCCATTGCGGCCCTCAAGTCAAAAAGTTTGCCCACCCCTGGCAAAGAACATGCAACATGTTCTCACTCCCGGAGGCACTGCCCACTCTGCTGCATCTAGTGACAGCTAGCGGAGGGGGGAATCTTCTCTCTCCGCTAGCGGTCACTATTTACAAAAAAAATAAACTGTGGCCATGCAGGGAATTCTGTGAATGGAAATCTACAAATACGGCTTTGCGGCTGTTGGCTTGTAGATCTCAATGAACTACCAAGGCTCTGTGATTGTTTATTCTCTCTTCCTGTCAGTGTGCATCTGCCTGCCTGTATGAGCACACATATACACTGACAAGTCTGCAGGAGCCCTGCATGGCATCCGCAATCTGCTGTTGCAATGCTTTCCAGGCTCCAAGTAAAAAAAAAAAAAAAAAAAAAAAAAAAAAAAAAAAAAAAAAACCACACACACACCACACACACAGCAAATGCACATATTTTTTCTACCTGAAAATAATGTGCATTTATTTGCTTTAGTGAAGTGAACTTATCCTTTAAAGAGGTTGGCACAAACAGTCAGCATCCACAAAGACCCTGCTGTTACAGGCGAATCCCTGGCCAATGTTACAACTGGCCCGTCATTATAATGGACTGCCTTAGTGGCCAATAGAAATATGCAGTAGTGTTCATACTTCTTGTTGCTATGCTCTTTTGGCATAGACAGAGCAGCACCAAAATTCTGATCCCAATGAGAACTGTATGATGACACAGCACCCCAATCCCCCCCGAACCTGGGAATACCTCACCCCTCCCCTCAAGTCCTCATCCAGGAACCAAAACACTCTTCTACTCCGATTCTGGCCTCCTACTGCTTATCCCTCATCTTCTTTCATCTCTGTACCCAAGATGCTACATCTGAATATAGCCTTAGTTTTCCCACTTAAAGTATATCAAACCCAAAAGAACAAAAGTGTAATACATTGCAATTTACATGTCCAGGGGAAAAAAAAAAAAAAAAAAAAACAAACCAAAACTAACTATTGATCCGGCTAGATAATGCAATATATATGTAGCCGTCTCTGTACTGACGTGAAAACTTAAACAATGAGATCAGCTTCTCTATGTAATGTATACAAAAGAGAGGGGGAGGAGTTTGTAGTCCAAATCATGAGAGCAGCCAAGGGTGACAACATTGCTCCTTCCTGTACAGTATGGTGAATAAGTGTTGTCACCCTAGGGTAGGGAGTGTGTTACTAGCAGGATTCATCAGGTAAAAAGTAAAAGGGAAAAAAAAAAAAAAAAAAAAAAAAAAAAAAAAAAAGAGAAGATTAAAAGAATAAAGTTCACCTTTCTCAACATGTTACATCCATAAATAGGGTATAACATATAACATACTAAGCATCCACCACCTCTCTGCCCTGACAAAAGGTAAGGGGATCTGCTCCCTGCACCCGCTGTCACAATTTGAAAACAAACAGCGTGGCCATGCAGGGCTCCACCCACATTAATTCATTCAGAGTTCTGTAAATGAACTACAACAACCGTCAGTCATTGCGGTTGATGACTTCTAGTTCTCAATGAACTGCAAGAATGCTGGTGAGCGTTCTGATAGTCCATTGATCTTCCTGGACTTCAGTAACTGCCTGCCCATTTCAGGGGTACGGGCAGACAATTATACAGACAGTCTGCAAGAGCCTGACACTGCACCTGCCATCTGCTGATGGCTGGTACAACACTTTACAGGCTTTTAAGAAAAATAATATATTATTATTATTATATGTACTTGATTCAATTGATTTATACCTTGGTATTTTGGACACTGCGTTTGTAATATTTATTTTTGGACACTGCGTTTTTATATATATATATATATATATATATATATATATATATATATTATTATATTTATTTTTTTTTACACTGCGTTTATATTATTATATGTACTTGATTTATACATAGTTTATTTAGTTTAGCACTTGTTTGCCTTGGCTATACGGTGAGCATATTGAGGTATTATCATTTATTACACTTTCAAGGGTGAAAGTAAGACTTATATGCTTTAAGGGGATAGGTTTATATGTTTTAGATACCGTCTTGATTCAGATTATAAGAAAAATCATAAAATGCACTTTTTTTTTTATTTGCAGGTAAAAAAAAGTGTTTTTATTTATTTACAGTCAGGTCCATAAATATTGGGACATTGACACAATTCTAACATTTTTGGCTCTATACACCACCACAATGGATTTGAAATGAAACAAACAAGATGTGCTTTAACTGCAGACTGTCAGCTTTAATTTGAGGGTATTTACATCCAAATCAGGTGAACGGTGTAGGAATTACAACAGTTTGCATATGTGCCTCCCACTTTTTAAGGGACCAAAAGTAATGGGACAGAATAATAATCATAAATCAAACTTTCCCTTTTTAATACTTGGTTGCAAATCCTTTGCAGTCAATTACAGTCTGAAGTCTGGAATGCATAGACATCACCAGACGCTGGGTTTCATCCCTGGTGATGCTCTGCCTGGCCTCTACTGCAACTGTCTTCAGTTCCTGCTTGTTCTGGGGCATTTTCCCTTCAGTTTTGTCTTCAGCAAGTGAAATGCTCAATCGGATTCAGGTCAGGTGATTGACTTGGCCATTGCATAACATTTCACTTCTTTCCCTTAAAAAACTCTTTGGTTGCTTTTGCAGTATGCTTTGGGTCATTGTCCATCTGCACTGTGAAGCGGCGTCCAATGAGTTGTGAAGCATTTGGCTGAATATGAGCAGATAATATTGCCTGAAACACTTCAGAATTCATCTGGCTGCTTCTGTCAGCAGTCACATCATCAATAAATACAAGAGAACCAGTTCCATTGGCAGCCATAAATGCCCACGCCATGACACTACCACCACCATGCTTCACTGATGAGGTGGATATGCTTAGGATCATGAGCAGTTCCTTTCCTTCTCCATACTCTTCTCTTCCCATCACTCTGGTGCAAGTTGATGTTGGTCTCATCTGTCCATAGGATGTTGTTCCAGAACTGTGAAGGCTTTTTTACATGTCGTTTGGCAAACTCTAATCTGGCCTTCCTGTTTTTGAGGCTCACCAATGGTTTCCATCTTGTGGTGAACCCTCTGTATTCACTCTGGTGAAGTCTTCTCTTGATTGTTGACTTTGACACACATACACCTACCTCCTGGAGAGTGTTCTTGATCTGGCCAACTGTTGTGAAGGGTGTTTTCTTCACCAGGGAAAGAATTCTTCAGTCATCCACCACAGTTGTTTTCCGTGGTCTCCCGGGTCTTTTCGTGTTGCTGAGCTCACCAGTGCGTTCCTTCTTTTTAAGAATGTTCCAAACAGTTGTTTTGGCCACGCCTAATGTTTTTTCTATCTCTCTGATGGGTTTGTTTTGTTTTTTCAGCCTAATGATGGCTTGCTTCACTGATAGTGACAGCTCTTTGGATCTCATCTTGAGAGTTGACAGCAACAGATTCCAAATGCAAATAGCACACTTGAAATGAACTCTGGACCTTTTATCTGCTCCTTGTAGTTGGGATAATGAGGGAATAACACACACCTGGCCATGGAACAGCTGAAAAGCCAATTGTCCCATTACTTTTGGTCCCTTAACAAGTGGGAGGCACATATGCAAACTGTTGTAATTCCTACACCGTTCACCTGATTTGGATGTAAATACCCTCAAATTAAAGCTGACAGTCTGCAGTTAAAGCACATCTTGTTTGTTTCATTTCAAATCCATTGTGGTGGTGTATAGAGCCAAAAATGTTAGAATTGTGTCAATGTCCCAATATTTATGGACCTGACTGTATATAAAAAGGTGAACTTATCCTTAAAAAAAACAAAAAAAAAAAAACAAAACAATGCACCGAGCACTTAAGGATTAGTATGCTGCAACTTATTTTATACATTATTATTTTTGTTTTTGGGTTCAGATATGCTTTATTACAACACAATTCCTGCAGAGCTTCCAAAATCCATCCTTTCCAATGCAATGTTTGCTCCGATATTGGCACTTTCAATCTCTTTGTCTTTAACACAGCACCTCAAAATATTTTTGCGTAAGAAATGTGTACGAGGGAAGAGGGGTTGAGCAAGCACTACCATGGAATCAGGCAAGATTGTGAAGGATGCTGCAATCCCCTTTTAATGATCCTTGAAGTACATAAACACAAGTCTCACCGGGCCAGCGTGAAGTCTGAATCCAGTCAGTAGTGCTCCAGTTAACGGTGTGAAGGAGTTTCCACAAATTGGAGGCTTTTCAATTAGAGAACGAAGACTGCTATTGTCCTGAGCACCGGGAGTGTCGATCATACCTAATAAAAAAGTGTCAAGTATTAGAAGGGGGTCTAGTGTACTCATTTATAGAATTCTCATCACACTTCTCAAAATAAGGATGCATTTGTACTCAAGACTCATGGCTGCGTGCATTAAAATCATTAAGAGAACCTCTGCATTTAGTACTTTTTTACAGCGGCTGTTTTTGGCTTTTGACAATTTTTTCTACAGCCAGTAAATCCCCCAGCATGTTATCCTATGTGTCCATACACACAGACTGTAATCAACATTTTTGGCTGGAAAAAAACCCAGGACTAGTGGGATTCTAGAGGCATTTTTTTACCTGTAAAAATGCTCTAACGCGGCAAAACGACGCAAACCGGCGTTTTTTGGACCAAAAAAAAAATTTATTTTTTTTTAACCAAAAAAAAAAAAAAAAAACGCTAAAAAAACACAAAACGCGGAAAAAAAACGCTAATGCAAAAATGCTAAAGAAATGTGAAAAACTCAGGTTTTTAATGTGACTTTACACAGCAAATGTTACCAACGTTATCAAAACGTCCCCCCAGTGTGCGTGAGGACTTACATTTGTACTACAAAGTTGATTGGTGAAAGGGAGTGGAGCCTACAATTGGACAAGTTTACAAGAGACAACACATTTTAACCTACTTTTAGAATGTCAAGCATAGGTTTTCTTCCACAAAATTTAAAGACAAAACTGTTACTAAACTCACAACTGTATAATCAGTCTGTATATGTAGTAGGGCGTGCTTGTCACTGAGGAATCTAAAGGGTTAATCCTTCGCATTGTGTAAAAAGGCTGATTGACCCGGTCTTCTCTGATCCTCCCCTTCTTCTACTGTCCCCCAATCCATCTGCTGATAGTACAGAGCTCTAGAAGTCACACTGCACATGCTCAGTTTAGAGTGTATTTCTAGAGAGTTTTTTCTTTTTTTATCTATGGCAGGGTGCATGTGGTCAGCACTCTCCAGAGAGAGGGTCAGGGGTTATGTAGCCTCATAAAAAACAGTCAGAGCAGAATGCAAACTCCTGCAAGCTTTAACCAGTGCTCTGCTGGACACTGATAGAACTAACAAGACTGCACTAACTGCTGATGAGAAAACGGATTTAGCAGTTTAGATTTACTAAAATATTTGCATTTCTATGTTCTGTGGGAGACCAGATAGAGTGAATGCAGGGTGTGGGGTTTAGTAACACTTTAATAGCCATGTAGTAATCCAGGGGTCTCCAAACTTTCTAAACAAAGGGCCAGTTTACTGTCCTTCAGACTTTAGGGAGGCCGGTCTGTGGCCATCGGGAATTGAAATTGTCCTGGTGTCAGTGGGAGTAAACAATGCATCTTTGATATCAGGGAGGAATAGTGCCCCATTGCTGGCATCAGTGGGAGGAATAGTGCCCTATCATTGGTGTCAGTATGAGTGCCTCATCATTGGTGTTAGTGGGAGGAATAGTGCCCTGTTGCTGGTGTCAGTGGGAGAAATAGGGCCCCATTGTTGGTGTCAATGGGCCTCATTGCACATGTCAGTAGCAGGAATTATGCCCCATTGTTGGTGTGGGAGGAAGAGTGCCACAAGGGCCGGATAAAGGCAAGCAAAGGGCAGCATACGGGCCCCAGTTTGGAGACCACTGTAGTAATCAGATGCCTAAATGAGACATGTTAGTTCAATAAAAGGATGACATCCAGTTTCTAAAATGTTTCCAAATTTGGTACATTCTAATAAATGGTTAGCCCTTCCGCCTGGCAGTACTAGGGTCGTTGGTTCGAATCCCAGCCACGGCACCACCTTCCTGGAGTTTGCATGTTTTCCCTGTGCCTGCGCGGGTTTCCTCTGGGGACACCGGTTTCCTCCCACACTCCAAAGACATGCTAGTTGGTGAATTGGCTCCTGTCTAAATTGGCCCTAGTACATGAATGTGAGTTAGGGACCTTAGATTGTACGCCCCTTGAGGGCTAGGGACTGATGTGAATGTACAATATATATGTAAAGCGCTGCGAAAATTGACGGCGCTATATAAGTACGTGTAATAAATAAATACTGCATCTACTCATAGGAGGTAGGGGAATTACTACTGGCTGGACCAGTGATATTAGCATAGTAGCACAAGCAGAGCACAAACAGGTGTCAATGATAAAAAATAGTTTAATAAGTAATTAAAAAAAAAAAAAAAAAAAAAAAAAAAACAAGTTAAATTTAAAAGTGATTGTAAAGTATTTTTTTTTTTTTTTTTTTTTTTTTTTAAACAACATGTCATTTAACATGTCATGTAAGCCCCGATCTACCGCTCTTTGGGTCCCCTGGCAGCACTCCTGGTTCCTCCTCCACCAAAGGAAGACACTTCCTATGGTGGCACATGTGCACGCTCGATTCCAAGTCACATTCTGTGTGTCCATTGACACACACGGTGCGGCTTGGCCCCACCGCCTGCTACCTTGTCACTGGGTTTGTTTGAGAGCAACAGGAGCCAGTTAGGAGGGAAGAGAGAGAACTGTGCCATTGCTCTCAAGCACAGCACTTAATTAAAAGGATAGGTTCACCTTTGGGAACGTTACATGTACCACCAGTTTTTAGGGTGGATCATGTAACATGTTCCCAAAGCCGTAGCGCCCACCCCCCTCCCTCTGACAGTTAGTACAGGGAGAAGTTTCCCTGTACTATTTGTCAGATTTGAAAACACACAAGGCCATGTCCCTCATTCACAGAACTCTGTGAATAAGTGGCTACAAATGCCGGCGGCCTTAGGGGATGCATGGCATCAGCAATCTACTGATCACTGGGGCAATGCTTTCCAGGCTCCTTTGGACAAAAATAATAAATGCACATTTTTTTTTTAACCTGCAAAAAAAATATGCATTTATTATTTTTTGTCCAAAAGGTGAACTTATACTTTAAGAATGGGCTCAGGTAAGTACCTTGCGTTGGTGCATACAGGTTTTTGACCTTAGCACAGAGAATGCATTAAAAAGGTAAAAAAAAAAAAAAAAAAACACCAACAACTTCAGCCTTTACAACCACTAAAAACAGAAGAATACAGTGTGATAACTCAGCAACACACACTCATCTTTCTCATACAGCTGAGTTACTACACTGCAGTCTTTGGTTTTTAATCTAAGTGGATATTGCTTTTTTTTTTTTGTTTTAATTATTAAATGATCTTTCACTGATATTGTGGTTAGTATCTGAGTCCCGGGATTGATGACATCAGTCAGCCACCTTTACCCACATGTTCCAAGGCTTCCTATGGACATTACTACAGACAACATTCCAGTTTTTTAAAGCCATTTTTTAAAAAGACACCTTCTAGCACCATTTAAGATTTCCCTGGACTTTAGTCTCACACTGTAACCCGGATTCTAGATTTAAGATATTATATACTATTTTTTTTTTTTAATCCCCTCCATTTGCCTTGGGTTATGAGCATCTCTTGTGCTACGGTATTTTTCTCTTTGTATATTAGCATAGTGTCGCAGATCTTTGACACAGAATAAAGAAGAGCCAGTCCTCTTCCCAGATAAAACTCGCTGATAGACTTCATTCCATCTTCCCATAGTTTCGGGTATGATCGGCTGGGACATGCTTACAATCACAAAGCTTCCCCGATTTGAACTTGGCTGAAGCTGTAATTGCTATTCCTTCTTTAGTTTCACTGTCATTACCTCATTCTTCCACTGTGCTGAACTACAATAATCATTCTAAGGCTCATCACACATACACACACTACATCTGACTGCACAATCAACTTATTATCTAGCAAAACTATGTAATATGAAGGCCTACATAATCGATCCAATCAAGCACATCCCTGCATGACATACTTTTTGGTCGATCTAACAGAGATTGCACAATCAGATTGTAATGCAGCGGATTCTGGTCACTCTTTGTCACAGTATGGAGGTCCACTGTCATCAGGCTGGTTTGTAACCATCAAGGGATAAAATAATGGAAAATCAATCTTCACAAATTAATTTAATGGGGGGGGGGGGGGGGGGGGGTTCTCACTTCACTCTGTACTGCAAGAGTACTCTGTGCCCTTTATGGTTACAGATCACAACCCTTTGCTGTTCTTGGTATCATTTTTATTGTCTTACCTGGAAGATCTGGAAGAAAATTACTCAGCTTTTCTTTGACTTTCTTACCGCAGAAATTTACTAAACGCATGTTCTAAATTGTAATGCAATATAAGATTGACACTGCCTGTGAGGTCAGAGAGTCCTAGAGGGGACAAATAAAAAAAAAAAAAAAAAAAAAAAAAAAAAAAGGGAAGAGAAAACATTTATACAAAAGAAACCAACAGAAGTATTATATATTACAGTCCTCAAACTATGGCCTGATGCCAACTACCTGCAATAGACAACTACCTTTTTTTTTTTTTTTTTTTAAGCAGTGCACCACAAAAAAAAAAAAAATAATAATATATGTATGTGCTGCTGCAGCACCAGTCCATCAGGAGGCTAAGCATAGCCCAGTATGGAAAGTCTCTCAACAGATGTTATTGTCAAGTGGGGGTTCTCCCCACAAAAGGTCTATCTGCCCAGCCATTGCTCCTTCCTCCACAAGGAGACAGCCATGATGCAATGGAGCAATGCGTGTGGTCACAAGGAGCTGGTGTCCAGCCTGTCTCAACCTTTTCAAACACAGGAGGAACCCTTGAAATAACTTTCAGTTCTCAGGAAACCCTTGCTAAAAATGATTACTACAACTCATGACACATTAGTGTGATGATCAGTGGAAAGAATGCCTTACACTTGTGGTTAATGGAAAGAATTACCCCCTTACAGACAGCTAAAAGGATCAATGGTGTCAGTGGAACGCATCTGAGAGGCAGAAATTGCTCAAGGAACCCTTAGCAACTTCTTAAGGAACCCTGGTTTGAGAATCCCTTCTCTAGACATTTGCTTTGACCAGAAGTGAGCGGGTTTACCATCTTACTGAGACAGACAATTCTCC